CTTGCCCTATCAGGTACTGCTTAAAAAAAAGCAATACAATCTATTTTATTTTGAAACACACCATTCAAATCCATCTGTCTTTATATGCCAGGCTCTCTCATATTCAAATGACTGAGAGGAGGTGTTAATGTATGCAAACCTGATCAGCAAAATCTAAATGGTGCGCTCTCTCCAGAGCACAGGACATATAAAGAGCTATATTGTAGAGATGGGGAGGGGGTGGTGACCTTGTTGCCGGTTGGGGCCTCTGGAGCTTGCAGCATGCCGTCTTAAAGCTCAGCCTCCCTGTTCAAAAGCCCCGAAAAGAGGACTGCTGCAGGGAATGCTCAGGGGGACGACTCGCGAGTCTCTCAGCCCCTGCCCCCTCAGTTTTTTTAAGATCTACAGTCTCCCTGTGGGAGAAAGCTCTGCCAATCAGAGGTGTTCAGAAGAGCTAAGTCCAGTGATGTTGGAGTAGTTCAGCATAGGTGGGTTTGTTTTGAGGTGAGTGAGGTAAAAAGAGCTGATGTTACCGTACTGCTGGAACATAAGGTCTTACTGCAAAATAGCCTTACCATGACTCCTTGTAGCACTGTGGGGAGTCTCGTGCGCGCTGGGAACATTAAACACAGGTCAGATTGCTTGGCCTACAATATAAAGCCAGGTGCGAAACACTATTTTCATAGCACTTTTCCCCTTACTTTCAGAGAAGCAAAAGGGCCATTAAAAGAATAGTTCACCCAAAAATTATAGGGTTATCTGAGATCAAATACGGCACAAGGCTGGATGTCAATAACATCAAGAATCATTGGTTTCATGTCTTGCGATCTGACATTATGATGTGAAAAATATGATTTGAGCGCTGCATAATGAGTTTCATGACTTAATCGATTTGAAAAATTACTCACAAAAAGTTATCATATGGATTCAGAAACAAGTGGTTTCCATTAAGTGAACTAAAAAAAAAATAGTAAAAGAATAGTAATATAAAAAATTGTTTTAGTTTCTGATAAATTGTACACTAACTTTCAAAAATTTGGCTCAGTAACATTTTTTCCTTTTATTCATCAAGTCCAACAACGCATTAAATTGATCAAAAGTGACAGTAAAGACATGTATAATGTTACAAAGGATTTCTATTTCAAATAAATTCTGTCCTATTTATCAAAAAAAGAAGAAAAATGAAACATGGTTTCCACAAAAATATTAAGCAGCACAACTTGATAACATTGATAATAATCAATGGAATAACTATGTATTTTTACTGTATTTTTTGATAAACCAAATGTTGAGCATAAGAGACTTTTTTCGAAAACAATCTTACCAACCACAAAGTCTTGAATGTTTTGAACGGAAAATTAAAACATTTAACATAACATAAAAATCAAAATATAATAACCCTAGACTATATATATGGACTAGTTTCATGGTGCATTTACAACCTTTTTGAATCTTGACAGACTAGTCACTCTGTCACTGTATGACAAAACAGGGATTGGAATTATTCCAAATGTTTCATTGTGTGTTCTAGTGTTGTCACGGTAACAAAATTTCAGTATTCGGTACCGATACCAGTGAAAATCCACGGTTCTCGGTACCAATTTCGGTACCAAAGCAAAACACAAAAACATGCTAATTGAACAACATTTTTATTAATAACGTTAAACAAAAATTAAATGTACAAAACCAATGCCATTTTTATACTTATTTAAAAGTGTTTCAAGTTTTCCTTTATGTTCGACCTGGAAGTATTTATTTAGCGATCGGAGCTAAACCGTCATCTGTATGGAACACCGTTGTGTATGGAACATGGTTAGTCTACGTTACCCGAAAAATTCCCATATGACAGACTTCGTCTTTTTCGACGGGGGAAAAAGTTCCAGGGATTCATCTCCTTCGGCCATCCCACACACAGGTGACTCCGCTCGCACCAACCGGAGGGGGAGGGGTCGTGTGACTCGCTACGCTCTTCGCTGCACACAACTGAGGGAGTCCTGCACTTTCCGTCTTTGACGACACGTAAAAAAACTGCGCATACCGCAGGAACGGTATAACGGGAAATTTTAGTGGTTTTGAAACCGTGCCCTTTCCAAACCGCGGTATACCCTGAAACCGGTTATCGTCCCATGCCTAGTTCCATGTAATGAACAACATAACAGTTTGAAATGACATGAGGGTAAATAAGTAAGTTTTAGATTAAACCTCCCTTTAGAAGGGTTTGCTCAGGGATGTGACATTTTTCATTAAACATGAACCAAGGCGAGGACAAATCAGATGACAGTTCATGACAGCTCCAAAGGAAAATCTCTAAAATGTATCGCCAGAGATAAACAGGTCCCCACGTTCCGCTCTCATCACAACAGAGCCCACACGGAGTCCTCACATCAAAGAAATCTGCCAAATGTATGCCTTGAGCACACCTGACATCTCGCCCGAGGCTCTCTGATAAAACCATCTTTAAACATGAATGAATCACACATAACCGTCCTACAAAGGCACCGTTAGGAAATCATGTTTTCAACCCTCCTATCAATTATTCACCCAGCAGACGCACAAGACAAGGGAAAATGGTGAAAATTACAAGTTCCTTCCTAAAAAGTTCTCTTGACAAAAAACCAAAGCGCCGCATCCTTGCATCAAAGCTGCCAAACTGAGAATCCATCTGCTCTTTTGGCCAGAGATGGTGTACATCCAATGGATCCGTTTTTCATAAATCGGATTTTATAGTGCTTTAAAGGGTTAGTTCACCCAGAAATGAAAATTAGCCCATAAATTACTTACCCTCAAGTCATCCTAGGTGTATATGACTAGGGCTGCACGATAAATCGCATGCGATATTTAACACGCATCTTGTCAGTAAAGTCGGTTCTTTAATCAA